TTTTTTTTGTTGATTTGGGTTGCATGAATAATAAGAGATAATTCTCCCCAACCCTCTTAATCCGTCTTTTGGCTGTCATATGACTTAAATTTAGTATTTTTTATTTTCTTCAAAAAGAAATTATTACTAAATTATTTATGTATGTTGTTGGTGCTAGTATCAAAAGTAAACATGGATGAACTCTGATGTAGAGAGCATGATAAAACAATATGAGACAATGTAGGGAACCACTCCTTTATAATTAAAGCGTCCATTATGGAAAGAATATGTAAAATGTTGGCTTAATCTCCTCCGTCCTTTAACTTATAGATTTTAAAGCTATTGGCCCCCAACTAAAAATTTAAGGGCATTAGTTTCTTAACAATATAATTTGAGGGAATTCTCCTTCATTTAATGAATTTGAAGCAAACACCGTTAGTTAAACATTATCTTCATCTTAGTTATTGACATATCAATATCTCTATCTCATGTGACATACCACTATGGCATCCAGCAAATAATTCTCCTTTAATGTAATATGAGTCTCCCTCTATCATACTAAATAAAGATTAAAAGAAAGAAAGGGGTCAAAACAAACATGCAACATGTTGCTTCGATGGCATGTCATAGAAGATAAAGATGTTAATGTGTTACTCACTAGAATGGAGATAATATTTACCTAAAATGTGTGCTTTAAATCTATTAAATAACAGAGAATTCTACTAAATCATATTGTTAGGGTGCCAATACTCTTAAGTTTTCAGATGAGAGCCTATAGCATAAAATCTATAAGTTAGAGGGCTAAATAGAGAGTTAAGCCTAAAATTTCAATGGATATTTTCATAATCTGAGACATAATTGCACCTATGGTAGACTGTTAAATGCACCATTTTTACCCTTTTCAAGTATAATTATGAATTTTTTGGTTAATTTTTCTGAAATTGTGTAGTTTTAAGCAAAGGAGATGAATAATAAATCAATATTGTAGGAGAAAACAAATAATAATTTTTTGGGGTGAAAAATAATCTTATTTTAGTACACAAAATAAAACCTATTAATTCTTTTTTTTTTTTGTGAAGTTGTTAATTAAAGAAGTTTTAAGGAAAAAAAACTCGAAAAATTTGAATTTGGATAAAAAATGACTACCATACCCTTGAGACTAAGTTTTAAACTATGATAAAAAAAGGTATTGTTATTATTTTCAGTGTACGTGGATGGATTTATTTTTCAGCAATATAGGCTAGAAAATATTATGCTCCAAAGTAAGGGAGATGAAATTTCCACCTGAAATTATGTTGAACAAATAATTTTTCCTTCGGAAAAGAAATTGTTATTTTTTTTTTTATTCATTTTGGTTTAATTTAACGAAGAAATTGTTGATAGATTTCTTAGTCGCATCAAAAGAAGTCTCTTCTTATTTGGGAGTAGTGGATTAGTGGTTTGATGAAGAGATTGCAAGTTGGCCTACCCAACCAGGCCTGTTTGGGACCGGCCCTGGTCAAGACCGGTCCAGAAGATGAAATCATTCTCCTTGTGAACTGTGAAGTATTATTTGGGGGACATTAGGAGTTTAAATAAAAATAAGAGATGAACTACATAAAGGCATTTTCTCGTATGTTTGGGTTGATTAAGGATTAAATTCTCTAATCTTGTACTTTTCT